CAGTATGACACTTTCATGACGATACTTGTGTACACTTGAAATGCAACTTGTCCAGTGACGCTCTTGACCTTGCAAGCAAGTGAGTTTTTTTAAGAAATTTATTCTTGCTTCCATTTTTAATTTATTTTTAATACCCAGTAATTTGAATAAAACCATACTCGCCGATTTATTACTGCAACGTGGAAGGTATATTTCTTGGAAGAATTTAAGTTAAATTAAAATTCACTATTGACTCTCTATGTTTACTAAATATTTCAGCAGTTTCTTATGCAGCCTTTTTTGTGCATGTAATTAATTCAAGGTTATTACGTATCAGTCGATTTTTTTAAAACCTAGAATAAGAAAATAATCTGTAGGATGTAATAATCTAAGTAGGATCTCACTGCATGAGCTTTGATATATAGAAAAATCGAATGACGCTTTTAATAAAGTAGGCTTAAGAAATTTGTTAAAAAAAGAAAGGAAAAAAAGACCCCGAGGAATATCCAGTAACTTAGAGTAGTGTGAATGTAATTCATTAGCGCGAATGGAGGGGCTTATCCCAAATTAACCCGAGGAATATCGAGTACTCTGGCGGAGTGTGAAGGAAGTCTGGTATGTGAATGTAATTTATTTGCGTGAATGGAAGGGCATATACCCAATTACTACGAGGAATATCGAGTACTCTGGCGTAGCGTGAAGGAAGTAGTATGTGAATAATTTATTTGCGCGAATGGAGAGGCAAATCCCCAATTACCACGAGGAATAACGAGTACTCTGGCGTAGCGTGAAGGAAGACTGGTGTAGGAATGTAATTTATTTGCGTAAATGGAACGGCATATACCCAATTACCCTGACGAATATAGAGTACTCTGGGGTAGTGTGAATGCTAACCTACCATGCTTTTTATCTTGTTTCGATGTATTTGTGCTATTTTATCCGCAACTGACGAGGCCATGAGGTATAGAGAGGCAAGCAATAGGATAAAGAAAAGATAAAATTGGTTACCGTTATATCATAAAACATCATAACTTGGCTGTAGAACCTGTGTAAGAAATTAGTAGGTGTAAGACGAGAGAAAGATAATAAAATTAATGTAAAGCTAAGGCGGGCGATGATCACTGTAGTTTAGATTGGTTTCGTTTTAAGCACCACATTACTTAAAAACGAATTTTCATATAAACCAAGACTTTTTTGGGTTGGATCAGCATGGGGCATTTTTTCTCGCAGGTCAGCTGTTCCATTTAAATACTATTCTGGGGTTTTATCCATTGCCCACGGAGTTACAACCGTGTGAAAGCTGATTTTATCTACGTTCAGCCTATACAAAGAAAATTTTGGTTTCATTATAAGTGAGAAAAATAAAGATGTAATCAACAAAAAACGAATATGGAGTATGGAGTATGGTAGTATGGAGACCTTTTATATCTGAATTTCTAATTCATTACAGCCCGGATTTATGGCATTACGTTTTGTTTATAGGGTTGTTAAAGTTTCCTGTAGATCAGTGGAGTCTCGTTTCAAAGTTGTCAACATTTTAGGTGATTTTTGAAAAACACCCTAGGCAATCAGAAAGCGAAATTATTTTTTGATTTCCCCAAACATTTGTATTTATATTATCAGGATTTTTTGGGATTGTAGAAAACGAATACAAATTTTGTTTTTTGCTAATTGTTTTAAAAACTTACTTTGGTCTTACAATACACTGGTTATTTTTAATTTACTCTTCCTGGATTTGTAACTATTTCGGTCTAAACGGTAGTAAAAATAGATGATTTATCGTATAAAATTATTTGTGTGGCTACTTTAAAAAGCTAATTTACGCAAGTTTTGACTTCAACAGCCATCAGGGCTTTGCATGTTTAGCCAATTTATCTAAGAGTTTACTTTGTAAAATGTTCCAAGGATGTTTTGTGCTAAGATACAAAAGGCTTTCATAGCGTTGTAGCAATAAATGCAGTTTTTGTTGCAATCTTATTAATGTTCCGTGCACAGGCCAGTAATGCGATAATTTAGTTAGTTACCCTTGAACTTTCAAGTGACAATTTCATCTGCGTTTCCAGTTGCAACAGTCGTGGCGTGGCCTCGAGGAGATGAGCAGAAACGTAGCTAATATTTTATCTCCTTGTTGTCGAGTGTACTCATTTCTGTACACGTTCATTAAACAAACAAAAACACATTGTAACGATCCTAAGTGTCGTGATATTCAACGAAATTAAAACTGTTCGGACATGATACCAATACAGTAAATACGGAACAGGTCAATGGTAAAATTGATAATTTTATTTATGAAGGTCCTAAATGGATTCGGTTGCATTTTCTCTTGTAATGTTCTATTTCAAAAAATAAATTTGGAATGCGCCTTCATACCGACTAATTGTGTTGAGGACGAACCCAATTACTTTGGTTACTTACTTTAAACGAAGCAAAATAATAAAATAAGAAAAACGTGTGTACATAAAACGCATCGCACTCTCTCCGCCTAGCCCGGCAGTGAAACTGTAAATCCTGCCCAAAAACTATACTTTCTTATTATGAAAAGTGAGATATTTCTAATATTCCTTGATAAAAAGGTTCACAATGTAGGGCGCTCTATTTCGACCCCCCCCCCAAAAAAAAATAGACTGTCTTGTAGAAATCGAAAAATCAGTGGATCCAAGTTTCAAAATCATTTCGGGCAAGTGAACAGTTTTAATAACCAGGATGGTGGTTTTTAAAAACGTTCATTCGAAAGAAGTCTGGGTTGGAATTCAGGACCCGAGACCAACAGCACACTTGAACCAAAAAAACTGCTCTACTCAAGTAAAGTTTTTGGGAGATTCCGGTGGTTTTGAAAAAAGTCCGTTCGAAAGAAGTCTGGGTTGGAATTCAGGACCGATGAGGTCCTACATGGAACAAACAGCACACTTGTACTACAAAAACCTCTCTAATCAATTGACTTTTTTGAGGTTTCCAGTGGTTTAGAAAAAAAAGCCCATTCGAATGAAGTCTGGGTTGAAATTCAAGACCGGTGAGGTTCGAACCCGAGACAAACAGCTCACTTGAACCAAAAAAACTTCTCTACTCAAGTCACTTTTTTGGGAGATTCCGGTGGTTTTGAAAAAAGTCCATTCGAAAGAAGTCTAGGTTGGAATTCAGGACCGATGAGGTTTGAACGCGAGACAAACAGCACACTTTTAGGACAAAAAATTCTCAACTAAAACAACCCAGTTTGCGTGAATAGTCGTATTTTAATTTTAGGTTATAAACTAACGTTTTTTTTAAATTTACAATAATAGATTTTACATTAATAGGAAAAGGTTGAATTGCATTTCGAGCTACATGCAAAATTGAAGATGATCTTTGAAATTATCGCAGAGTTTTTCTTCTCCAGTATATTATTTGCTTTTGGACGTTTTTATGAGAAAACACTTTAATAAGAAATACCATATTTTATTATTTGTCTTATTTTATACAGAGTGTCAACTTACTAGTGTTACCCCTAGTTTCATCACAAACTACTCAACCTAGAAAAACATTAATTAATTGAAAGAAATAATTTAGTCACCAGATCAGTACATATAATGGATTTAACTAGAAAAAAATTTAAATAGGGCTTTTTTAGCATAAGCTTTACTACTTTTCTACAGTGTTGTTTTTCGATTTCGCGCCCGGGGCCCAATCTCGGTGGTTGGACGGATAAGACCCCAGACAGATAAGCTCAACTCTGTAGATGCACGTTTCAGTTTCTACAAATTTAAATCCAAAATAAACAGGTATAAAAGGTTCAATTCGAGTAGGGTTTTCTCTTGTTTCTTAACGAACATTTTGAGCTTTTTTCAGTAAAACTCTTAAGATATATACTTTGTTCCTTTAAGCCATTAAAAAAATAGAAATCGGAAAGAAATGAAGTAGAAACGTTCTGTTGTATTATCTATTTATACCTCTGGATACATTTAATCTTCCTGGGCAAAAGGAGTAGCATATACAACACCAATTCTAAATCATATCAATTATAAAGTTAGCCCAATGACAAATGCTTCTCTCCGCCAAATACACATTTCAGTTTTATTAATATAAAATTACTGCCGATATTTTGTCTTTTCTCTTGCATCATGAAGAGTTGCATGCGACATCAAAATTTATCATCACCGTATTTTTTCAGGGACATTAAGAAAATTTGTGGTTTTATTCAGAAAGTGATAATATTTACAGAACAAAATAAAGTCTGAAATCATCAACATTTGTTTGTGCTTACAGTCTTACTTTTTTTTTTTTATCGTTATTACTAACGGAGATTTACAATTGGTATTCGGAAGAAAATAAAAGACGATATGTTACACAATTTTATCATTAATGAAAGGTTCCAATGTTATCTGTTTTCAGAATTTATTTGCTGTAGTCTGCTGTAGCCTATCGTAATACAAAATAATGTATTTTCACATAGCAAAAAATCTGACAATAATAAATCTGAAATATAAAAAAAAATATGCTGAGCTATTGTAATTTGTTCAATTTACTAGTTTTCATGATCCGCTTGACCAATTAATTAAGGTTTTTAGTTGAGATAAAAAAGTCAATGTCACGAGCGGGATTCGAACCCATGACCTTCGGCCAGATACGCCTCTAATCTACCACCTGAGCTATCGTGACTTCAGCCAGCTGCGGCCTATACTCATCTTGAAAAAATAGAATTTACATTTTTTTAAGTAAATCAATTTTGACCTATATTTGATTGTACAGAAGGAGCAACAATACATTATCAGTAGAAAATAGAAGATAAATGGAACATTGCATTGGAAACCACTGGGTTTTGAAATAAATACTAAAGCCAACTGAAGATTGCAATCTTTCCGAAATACGTTATACTGAATAGCATTTGGTGTTTATAAATCTACCCACCATCTACCCGAAGAGGCGAGATGCAAAATGTTGATCGTTGCGATACTATTTTTAAAATGCATCTAAAGCCTTTCCCTTGCATAACCAACTAACATCTGCGCGCACAAGCTCTTATTTTAGCATCAACAAAATGATCTTACTTCGGTTTTTCTTTGTTTGGCTGGATGGCGGAGGGACACGTAAATGACCCATAACATGAACAAGTTCAAACTGCGGTTGATCGCTCTTCGATACGGATTTCTGCCGAAGCCGGAGGTAAAACGATCGCCTCTCAGGCTGCCTTTTCGTTTCTGTGACCAGGGACGAAGAAGCTGCGTCTGAAACATAAAACATAAAAAATAAACACAACGGTTAAAAATATTTACAAAACAACCAGAGTAAGATTAATAATCGACTAAATCACACGTTTGGCAAATGGTGGAAAAAAAAGCAAGGTGGATTTGTTTAAAAAACTGCATGCAAGATAGGTGGTGTTGATAACAAAATGTTTAAATATCTTATTAACCCGGTTGGAATTTTTTTCCCCTGATAATACCTTCTGAGAATCCAATTAAACTTCTTTAATCGATCTCTCGTTAAATGACAAAGGTAATTTGCAATAATTAATTAATCTGAGCGGAAATGCTACTTTTGACGTAGAGGTATGGATTTATATTGAAGCAAATTAAATTTGAGTTTAATTTAAAAAAAAGTTTTACTTAGCAGGCGAACATTTAATTAATGCAGATACATGGCAGGTTTGAGAGTGGTAATGTTTACCGATTTATGGTATTTATAGTACCACGAAGGCAATTAATCTTTCAAATGCCAGTTATAAATACTTTATTACTCTTATAACTTTTTACATAGGAAGGGTAATTTATTATAAACAAATAGTTTATTATCTTGATTATGATTGATTGTTCGGAATCGAATATTTTTAAAACACCCACCTATTTTTTTTTCTTGAGCAACGTTCTTTTCCGAACCGCGCTCACTCGTTGCCGATTTGATTTGATCATAGGTTAGCCTGGACAACGATGATTCAAACTGATAAAACCACCGAGTGAGGAAATACTAACCGAGGCCCCTTTGATGTGATGTGAGAAAGCGAAAACTGAATAAAACATAACCGCCTACTGAATAGAACATTGAGTCTACATATGTATAGGTCACTAAATTGACACTGTTTGACTCCTCGATTCTCTGTACATTAGAAAACGAAATGTACAATCTGTGTACACGTGGTACAAACCGAGTAGGGTCTGCAAGAATATAATGGGTAGGAAATAAATTGTCTTTTCCACCACAGGCATTTAACGCGTTTCGGTCTAATAAATTCCATCATCAGTGACATATTTATGTGTGTGTAGTGGCTGACGTTTTTTTTACGTTCTTATAAGTTTAGAAGTCTGGACGACTACGGACTTGGAGAGTAGTCTGTCAAGAATGAATTTTGTTCTTATTGTTATTTTGTCGTAGGTGTCTTTAACCACAGATGGACTGCGTCTGTAACATGCATAACGAGTTGTGCCATGAGATATGGTGTCGCGCCATTGACGTTAAATATTTAGGCCATGCTTTGGGTTTATTGCCAAACCTTCATCAACCAAATGTTCCTTCACATTTCATCTAATTTAATTATTACGTGTGTAAATATGTGGTGTTTAGTAACCGTTAACTAATGATTATTTGGATGTCGTGAGGTGCGGTCTGGTATGACGTAGGTTTTAGAAAAACATTTTCTTTATCGTGCCAACGTTTCGATCTTTATTGAGATCATTTTCAGGGCTCAAAGTGTTTGTTTTCTGTGTACATGTGTCATTATTGGCTGTCGTGTGGAGCCCTGATGATGATTTCAATAAAGATCGAAACGTCGGCACGATAAAGAAAATGTTTTTCTAAAACCTACGTCACACCAGACCGCATCTCACGATCTCCAAATAATCAATCATTTAATTATTACTTTTAATTTTAAATTTAAAAAAATCAGATAAAGAGAAGGGATTTTAAAGAAAATCGTTATTGTAAGAATTTGCATAAAAGCAATTTCCATTTATGGTAATCGTATAAACTATAACTGTTCATTGTCCTGGTGAATTTTATGGTTTGCGTAAATAATTAGGTTTATTACATTCCGTGGAATAAGAGAGGGCACTGTGATTAATCAATTTCAGAATGTTTCAAACAACGAGTAAAAAATCTCATTAAGTATGGTACAATCTCTGACAACACGCTATTTTTCGAAAGTGCCCAGTCAATTAATTCATCGTAGGTTGACTTGACTCCAAAGACTTACACGAAGTGCTCTCGCAAGAGTTAAGCACTTGCTTTAGCTTTGGCCGAATTTGAACTTCACTCCGTACTATTGACCTCCCAAAGCGTACACAAATCTAATTTATCGATTTTTCCTCCATTATCATTACGTTAATTACTTTTTTTGACCGAAAATCAAATCAACATTCCACCCCCAGCCGGTTAAATGACAAACTTATAAACCTATACCAAGACAAATGACCTTAATGAATCTTTCTTAAATGTTTTATATATGTATAATTTATTTGTATGTATTCAATGTAAATGCACAATGGGCACATTTTCTTCATTGTCTTTTGTACAAGTATACTACATGTTCGAGGTTTTCTTGGATGTTGGAGGTATTGGGGTGTACAGGAAAGGCAAACGTATTAATGGTATATAGAACAGTAGTCAAATTGTAAATTAATTTCATTGTTTTGCTAAATTCAAAACTCATCTTTGGAAAAATACACATTTCATTCTAACGTGTAGTTTGAAAGCGTCAGATGTTTCCTTGACCATCGTCAGGGACCAATAAACTTTTCAGAACCTGTTGGCTACTATGTTACTTCAATGGCACATCAATTACATTGCTGAAATGTCCGAACTCATACATTTTGCGATAAAATAAAGTCTACTGCTTTTTTTATTTGATACAAATATTTGACCCCGCATGAAGTTAAAGTTAATCAGAATTTTTAGAGTTGGCATATGCTAACAAAATAACAAGAAATATATGCTGAAGAATATGCATGCCAGGATCAAACTATTTTTTGTATAATTAGTCATTTAATTACTAATCAATTGTTTTAAACTATTAGAGTGAGGGCGTGTAAAAGTCTAGTTTGAAGCTCAAGTATCATCCCAAAGTTAAGATCAGGAAGGGCAAAACTGTGGGGCCAGAAGGTAGCAGCTGCCATGGGGGAAGATAGTAGTCCTCAGATTTGCAACAAGCGATTGTTATCGTTACATATTTCTTTTTAAGGAACGAATGAGCTTTGGAAGAGGGAGTCTATTTGAGGATTTTTAACCCGATTTTAAGGATCTCGATTACCTTTTTCCATTGCCACAATGACGGATTTGGAAGATGGGCAAATTCCAGACGAGCGACTGGTGGACTATCCGATTCTCCTCGTAATGTCTTTGTGTGAAGATTAAAAGGTCTTTTAGATGTAAATGTAGTAGTAGGGGTGCAATCTCCTGCGGGCAAGTGTGATATCACAGTTTTTAGTAGATGTGTTCGTGTCTCCTCTGCCTCTTTGTAGAATCTGCATGTACCGTCTTGGATTGTACCAATTTAGGGATGGTTAGGGTCCTCCTGGATGTCTTGGCTCCTCGTGGCTGAGCTGCCTCTACACCAATGCTGCGGCAATAACACCATTCTGTCGTATGTGGAGGTGCGTCAGCTCTCATCTTGAGAATCAAAACGTCCGATAAGGTCGATAGACTAGGTGCGGACGTTAAAGAGTCTCGTTGCTCTTTTTAGGACGTCAGATGCTTCAATTTGGAAAGACGTGGATTTCAAGGAGCCGAAGGCTGCAATCGACCGAGAGTCCAATTTGTCGTGTGACTGCGGCTTGACTAGAAACCACATGGGGGAGATGTTAATGTGTCGATGTTTTTTGACCATCGATGGTGGGCTGTTGATGTTTTATAAACTTTTCAGTTTTTCTTAATTTCCACTTTTGTGAATAGGGAATGACCCATATTCTTCTAATATGAAAATGACCCATCAGAATTTGTCAGGAGTTGTTCAATTTGTTGCCTTAGTGGCACATCTGTTCCCTCTGAACGATTATTTTCCAAAGCTGGACAGATTATTTCGAAAACCAGAAATCGCTTAGAGGATAAATTGGCTTTAAAGCTACGTTTTTTCAATTGCGTTCCGGAGAAGATGTGGTAGTCTTTCATCGTAAAATTTGGATACATTACTTCTAATAAATTAAGGTTATGGTTGATTTTAGTTCCGTACTTGTTAAACCTTTACCTATTTTTGAGCAAGAGAAAGGAATTGGGCTTGGGTGGATTATGAATGTTTTCCAAAGTATCGAAGAAAAACAGGTAGGCATTTTGAATAAAATTCACAGGCACAAAATATTTTAACAATAGACGTATTTTATTTAAAAGGGACCGAGAGATCTATATATAACTATAAATGAAACCAAATGCAAAAATAATTCCTAATAAATGTTATTAAAAAAACAACATAATTTTTATTAATCAAGTCCTAACAAAGGTTCAGAACTGGCGAAGTTTGAGTACTCAAAAAACCATCTATGTGAAGACTATAGTTCGGCCTACCATTTAATTTGGTTTTGCAGTCTGCTTGGCTCTCTGACATGATAGCTATGTTCTTGTTTTTTTACACTTTAGTCAAATTGAATTGAGTACATCTCTCGATTGCTCAATGCTCAACCACAGCTTGGAAGATACTGGTGTATCTACCCATGGGTACTGAGCATTTGGTTCCAGGATCGAATACTCCTGCCCGTGTACCTTCTTGCGTTCTAGATCCATCTGTGTACTAAACGTTGGTGCCGTTCTTAAAGGTATTTTCTTCTTGTTCCCATTCTTTTTAGGTACCTAGGTTTAATCGGAAGTTGTGATTGAATTCAAACATCCTGTTCATGTCGTCCCTTGGGGCATGAGTATCGGAAGGTCTTTCATTATTTTGTTGCTATCTTTCTTCAGTTTTATTCCTGTTGGAGGTTTCTCTTTAGTAATACTAGTAATAGTTTTCTGAGTTGCCCTCACTACCATGTGGTGTAGGGGGACACAAAGATTATGCTACAAGTCTCACGGCAGAGTAGTCAAAGCGATATATTGTACTTTTGAGTAGTTAAAGTTTACTCTCCAAAGATTGCTCCATTTTTCAATTGTTGATTGTGGGAATATCAGTAAGTAGTATTGGTACCAAGTAAAAATTGTAGCGTAGCGAGTATTGGCCCTTGTGGCACACCTGCAAACATCTTTTCCATCTCACGTCTCTGTACCCTGGTGCACTGCGAAAAATCTCTCCTTAATTGTATAATTAGACAATAGGCCTGGGGTAAAAATAATTTTACTTTGTGTAATAATCCCTCATGCCATACTTTGTCGAAGGCATGAGAAACATCTGGAGATACTCCAGTCGCGTACAGGTTCTGCTCGAGATATGAAATAATTAAATATGTAACTGTGAAGTTGATGAGTAGTGGAATGATGGGTTCCAAATCCAACTTCTATTTTCTTTCTCAAAATTGCTTTAAATAAAGAAGTCAGAAAGACAACTCTTGAAGAACTTCAGCTGTTATCAAATCATGACTGAGGTGATTTTTTTTAGGAAGCTGTATATAAATAAAACTAAAATAAAATGCAATTTTTGGGAAATTAACAGTAAATTTAAAACCGAAAGTCTCAGGTAAATTCCTCTTTAAGATATTTTTTTGGGGGAAAACATTCTGATTATGCAAATCCTACTTGTTTGCGTTGTACAACCCCTATATTATATGTAACATAGAATACTAAAAATAGATATTTTTTATTTATTTAAATGTTTTGTAAACCAATTAGTGTGAATTCAATGAGGCTAGGGGATAATAAATTGGAGTATTATAGGAATGAGATGTCAAATAAATTTTGGTATGCCATTGGCGGATAAACGTATTACAGTGGGTTTAACCTTAAAGACTTACAGTTTTACCGGTACGATCGGATTAACACGAACATAATTAGGCCAAACGCCACAATATCTGTCCATCAATGAAGATAAAGCAACAAAGTGCATGCACAATCGTCAGATAACAGGCACATTTTTGACTCTTAATTTATACTTCACACTCACCATCAAGAGTTTACGCTTTCATTTCGGCAAACGTCATAATATTTATCTACTATTGAAGGATGAGATAAAAGTATTTATTTCAATAAAAAACAAAAAAAAATTACCCAACGTTGAAGGCAAATTGGATTCAGCATCTGACTTCAAAGCTCTTTTTAGCTCCTCGTGATCTTCGAGCGATGTGATGTTGTAGAGAGATTGGCCCAAAAGATCAGTCTGGAACATAGAAACAGTGGATGTGTTGATTATTTGTCTAATACGAACAAGTCAAGAAAACAATCTGTCCTGTTTTATGTTGTTCCATGAACAAAGCGAAACGATCGTGGAAACAAATGGTAGATTGATGTCGTCGAGGGACTACAATTTGGAGGGAATTCTACAAAAATAGGCGCCGTCACCCGCTGCGCGTCTTCTCCAAGTGGCTAACGAGGATCTTTTGTTCGGGTGTGCCACGAGGTACCACATGACATTTCCCCTGGCTGTAGAAACGTGGCGTATTAAGGGAAATGTGCAATTTTCCCAAATTGTACCCCTTCAGTTTATATCGATTCCGACAAAGCTGATATTGTTAAAAAAAATGAAAAGTGCGTTCTTATTGAAAATTGTGTCCGGGCTATTCGAAAACTCAAGATATGGGAGTAAATAACTTTGAATCCTCTATTTAAAAAAAAAAGAAGGAAAATCTCTTAAAAAAAAAACAAATTTTAGATAATTAAATTCTTGGTAAAATATTCAGTTTTTATTTTTTTAAAATATAATTTATATCATACTCTCCACTGACTATTGAACAATGCGCCAGAGACATAAAAAGGCTAGGAATACATTCCCGGAAGATAGCCATTTTCTCTGATAGTCAGGCAGCATGTAGCCTTACCTGATGCGAGGCGAAGGCAAAGTGTGTTTGGAACTGCATGGATGCCCTGATGGAAGTCAGCGACACTAATGACCTGACCCTGGCATGGATCCCTGGCCACTGAAAAATGTTGACATGTTGGTGAAAAAGGGGGCCAACATGGACTTCTGGGTCCTGAACGCTACAGTGGCATCCTGCCACAAAACAGGATTCATATTAAAATGTATCCTTAATGAGTCTAAAACCTTGTGGAATATTACCACAGGTATGAGGCACGCAAAAAAATCATAGAAGGACCATCTGCAAAACTTACAATACAATTATTGGAAGGCAACCCCAACCGAATCAGGATTCTGGTTGGACTCCTAACAGGGCATGAGGTTCCCGCATACTCGGTCATCCTAAAAAGGACTCTGAGGATTTTTAACGTCCGCACCTAGCCTATTCGGCCTTATCGGACGTTTTGATTCTCAAGATGAGGGCTGACGCACCTCCGCATACGACGGAATGGTGTTACCGCCGCAGCATTGGTGTAGAGGCAGCTCAGCCCCGAAGGGCCAAAACAACCTCGCTCCCCGCGTGCCTATTCCAAGTGGCCGGGTCTGCATTGACCTTCAGACCGTATGCTACGCGCAAAGGGCTCTACCTAAGCCGAAATACATCAGCTCGGACTCCCGCACGCCCTAGATAGCGAAGGCGACTCTATCTCCCAGAGTCTTGGGCTCCTCTAGCGTCGAAACTTCCAGATCCGCTCCGGCCGCGGTTTAGTTTAAAGTAGAATTTCTAACCACCCCCTAGAGGAGTACCGCCTGTGTTAAAAGCCTCCACTCGAGCTCAGCCTACTCCTACGTGCAAAGCATACTCGAGGAGGAGCAACCGATTCACTACTCGTTCCCATCCGCTACCCATTCGAGGGACTTTCCAGCACAATCATCGCGTCTCAACGCCTATACTGCCGTCCGATCCGCCGTATCCCGTGAGGCCGGGAGTATGACGTGGTCATACGCAAGTCTCGGGCGAAGGTCACAGGTAGATGACAGTCCCCGTCACTACAAGCAACTACGAATCCATTTCCAGTGTAACAGAAGCTGGATTTTGGAAAATGTCTGTTACCGCGTGGATCAGATGGTTATGCACCCTCCCTCGTCTGTGCAAACAGGATCTGGTACCCTAACCCTCGAATGCCTCTGATAAGGCACCCGCTGCCCATGTCGACCCGAGGCCGACACGAGTACAGCATGTGCTTTAGAGAGGTTGCCACGCCCTATGGGCTACACCGTTACACCCCCCCCCCCTTGTAACCAAGGATTAGGAGGGGGTCACAGGATAGAATGAAAGAACCTACTCCTAATAGGGCACCGCCACTTAAGAAGGCACGGAAGGAGTACAGACACATTCTATGTTTCTGTGAAGGGTTTTGCAACTAGGGCAAAAAAAAACCACAAGCAAGATCTTACACTAAGGAGCCTGATGGGGCTGAGCAAAGCTATGGAGGCTGATTAATAAACTGAAGCTGGCCAGTGAGTTATAAAAATAGGGGAGCACAATAGACCTATTGTCAAGGTCAAGGTATAGCCACAATATAGGTCAATTTATGAGCAATTTATATGTATATTATATTTATATTTCCCCTGACTATAGTAAAACAGATTATAATCAAGCTGAAAAAATAATGATTACAGGCTATAAAACATTACAATATTGCCAATAAATTAGCATTACACTTTAAAATGAATACATTTATGCATAGATAATAAGGCCATGGTTTACAGTTCAGATCAAATATGTTGACTAAACTAGCCTTCTTTCTTGCAAAATAGGTCCCGATGATGTGGGTCCATGTCTGTGGGCTTGGATCTCTTTCACCCTCTCTTTATCTAGCTCTCTTTTCGTCCGCTGTCCTTTCACATAAGGTAATGGACACATTGGATTGTAAATACGATTGGGACGGCCTAACGAATAGACCGATAACCATAAAATACTCGCACAACGAAAAAATGTCCTCATACGATCCAGCCCAAAAATATCTATTTTTGTTTGTCATATTCTGAACTGTTATTTCGAAAAGAACATTTCTCCATGGGCTCTTGGGGCCCATGACAAAAGAACGTACGGATTTAAGTGTGACACTCCTCCACTATGAGTCTCAACCGTCTAATTAATAGATGTTAAAAATTCCTAGCAGTTTGAAAAAGATTGAAATGGGAATGAAGTAAATGACGAAATTTGTGTAATCAAAGGAATTGTACTCGTAATACAGTTGTACAATTCTGGGAACAGAGCCTTGATTGGGACATGCTTCAGTGGTCCCTGAATGCAGGTTTATTTGTGTAAGCCTTTTTGAATCCTGTAGTACAGATACCAACGGCTACTGTAAGCTGGCGTCTTGCAGAAAACTCGGCGACAAGACTAAACATTATGTACAGATCTGCTAAGAAACGCAAGAGACTCGAATTCAATACCGTGTCTTAAAACATGAAGCAATTTGGTCTAAAGTCTAAAAAGTTGTTTTGTCGGATAATAATTATAAACGATTAAAAGAGGATAATTATGATAAACACAAAATGCTTTAGTAAAAAGAACATGTTTTCACTTATAAGAAGTTTTTTTTGTCGTTATTGCACTTTCCACTCATTCCAGATGGCATAAGTGCTGATTCTCAGCTTAATATTATTGAAAAAACCAATAGGTAAATAAAAATCCAACCTTGATTCAAGACAATCCTCATCTTGAATACACTATTTGACAAAGGCTAAATTGTCGTTAAAGTCACCCTGCTTATATCCTTAACTTTCGTGGCGCCTACTACACAGATTACCTTTGGAAACGGTTTATTTAAAACGTGATATTCTTCCCTTCTATGAAAAGAGGAGCTACTTTTGTAAATGGGAAATTTATAAGGGAGATAGGACGGTTTGCCACATTAAACCTAGATGAGGATAACAACCTTGTTTATATCCAATTCGCTAGTTTTCGTGGTCCGCTTGACCAATTAATATCTTTCAATTAATTAAGGTTTTAGTTGAGATAAAAAGGAGGAAAAATTCAAAAGGTGGGGTTGAGATGTGAAGTTAGTGTCGAGTGGATAGAACTCACGATAGCTCAAGTGGTAGAGCAGCGGCGTATCTAGCCGAAGGTCGTGGGTTCGAATCCCGCTCGTGGGTTCGAATCCCGCTCGTGACACTGACTTTTTTATCTCAACCAAAAAACTTGTTTATATCCTTAACTATATGTATTTCTTTTGAACTTTAATATAATTTTCAGTAGTTCGTAATGGCAGGATATGGTAGCTTTCTACGCTTGATATGTCACTGTAAGCAGCTATCTTAAAAAAACGTGATGTCTAGTTGTAAGAATAGATCTTTTCCAAAGGCCTAAGACCTTACATTGAGCCTTTGACTGCAAAAATTCGGTCAGACAAAGTTTATATGTCGATGAACAATTGATGAATTATTGGATATCCCCAGTGGCTCAGCAGAATGTTTACCAAGACTGATTTTTCTATCAACGGGATTAAGCAATACCACAACAAGACCACTCCGTTATTAAGTTTGCAACACGCAATGGGACCCAATTCCAAAAATGAAAATAATATAAATGGATGAATAGTGTCTCGACTCTCCCTGCTTATATCCCTGGCGTCACGCTATTTGGATATAGTATCTTCCGGCTAATATCTCAATTTTTAACGGGACGTCAGTAAATACAACAAGGATGTGAAATTATGATGAATGGTGAAAATTAAAGGCTATTGATCGTACAGCCTTACGATCCCTATATTTTCGCGATAGGTTAAAATTTCCAATCTGACAAGTTAATTAACGACAAATGATTAAGCCTGTAAGGGCAGATTTTTTTATATGAGTGATTAATCTCTAAGCTAGTCACGGATCCGGTGTTAAAGTCAATAACGAAACTGCGTCAGCGTCGTATTGCATTAAACAAGAACCATAGGAGACGGGCTTGAATGGTTTAGCTAACTTTTGTGGCACCTATTGCTCAGATTCCCTTTGGAAACGGTTTGTTTAAAACGACGACGAAGAAACTCGATCCTTCCCTTTAATGAAAATAGGAGCTTGTTAAATTTTTGTAAATGGGAAATTTATAAGGGAGACGTAGATAACAACTGCTAGTTGATCACTACTTCCTTACTGATTCCACATTTATGTAAAACAAAGCGAAACGGGGTCGACATAACTACAAGTTTCCTAAACAAGTAAGTTCAGAAATACAATCCTCTCGGAGAAACAAGGAGAGACTCCACTACTCTACTGAACTAAAAAAACCGATAGTCAAACAAGACCTACCGCAAGAGTAAAGGTTAACAAAGGTAAACAAGCAAGCTGATGCCACGTAGCGAACAAATGTTTTAAATTAGTAGGTTACAAAAATAAAATTCCTAAGTGTAGACGACATATTGCATGAAGACTTTATGTGACACTAGGTCTTCTGTACAAACTTCGAAATAGCCACTGCTTCATATTCCACTTAGAGTCAGGTGCTCCGACTATTCACACGTCTAGACATTGTGTTCCCGAGTACTCATCGTCAACAAGACAAGAGGATCTTTATCGTCCGCACCTAGCCTATTCGGCCTTATCGGACGTTTTGATTCTCAAGATGAGAGCTGACGCACTTCTGCATACGACGACGTGCCGCAGCATTGGTGTAGAGGTTTCCCAGCCCCTAAGGGCCAGTACAACCACGCTCTCCGCTTGTCCACTCCAAATGGTCGGGCCCGCATTGTGCATCGGGTCGTATGCCGCACGCGAGGGGCTAACAGGCCGAAATACATCCCCCCCCGCGTACTCCCTAGATAGAGAAGGCCACTCTATCTCTCTGAGTATAGAGGCTCCCCCAGCATAGAAACTTTCGGGAACGCCCCGGCAGCGGTTTAGTTTAAAGTGGAATTGCTAACCACCCCCTAGATGAGCACCGCCTACGGTAAAGTATCTTATCGAGCTCAGCCTACACCTGCTACGCGCATTCGAGGGACGCCATAGGCTCAGCTAGGTGGTCCGATCCTTCGCTTCTCCAAGGGTACCATGCCGGTCATACGCACAACAATGCAAAACATACTCGAGTCTAAGAGCCGACTCACTACCCGCTTCCATTCGCTTATTTACGCATTCGAGGGACTATAGCATGATCATTACGTACTCAACGCTTACATGCTGTCGTCCGGTCGCAACTTCTCCCGTGAGGCCGGGGGTTTTTACGTTGGCCATACGCAAGCTTCACGAAGGTCACAAATAGAAGACAGCCTCTGTCTAAGTTCCCGCCAGGGGTGTCACAACGCACCACCACGAAACCATTCTCAGTGTAACAAGGGCTGATTTGAAATTTTACAGTTACCTCGTGGTACAGATGGCCATACACCCTCTCCCGTCTTTGCAGACAGGATCTAGTTCACTGGCCCTCGTGTGACTCTGCTAAGGCACCCGCCGCCCATGCCGACCCTTAAGCCGACATGAGTACAGCTTGTGCTTTAGAGAGGTTGCCACGCCCTCTGGGCTGCACCTTTATTTTGTGCCCGGATACCCCCCTTGTAACCAAGGGTTAGGAGGGGTCACAGGATAGAATGAAGGAGCTCGGATTGAGAAAAAGGGCCGTTGATGAGAACACGAGGTGAGCCGTTTCGGGGTCTCGAGTCTTGAACCACACTATACCACCCGTTGTCGCCGTAGTTCCACATAAAATGGGCCAGGACTCCCAAGGTGGGTGAGACGAAATGGCCATTCAAGAGCCGAACTAGTCGGCCGTATCCCAGCCAGTCGTCTCGGGGGGATGAATCCGAGTCTGCGGAAAATAAATGCGAAATATGAAAATAAAGCACTCACTCTTCACAATCAGTGCGCTCGTGGTGGGCGACCGGTTCCTCAGGCTTTCGCAGTTTCCGTTTAGGCTCCCTGAAACTCCCCGAAGGCCGAATGTCGCTCGCACCTGGGCTTGAGAGACTCTTCCTCAGCGATTCGAACCCTTGAATCGCACATAGAGGCAAGGAGGAGGTGTTCAAGTCTCCCCCAGCGTCAGAAAAGGGAACAGCCGAACAGTCGAGCCCAGATAACGTGGGCTACGTCTTTCGCTGCCTCTCGTGAGACCCAGAGCAGTCAGATAGCCGAACCGAGCGCGGGGCACCCATCGATACTACCCGCCGTCATAGACTCCCTTTCTTCGCATTAGCCCTTCATGGGTTCGGAACCCCAACACGTCTAGACAGTGCTATAGGGCAGAGTGCTTGGACACGCAGTACTATCCGCTGATTCTGATTGGTTCGGATGTGCAGATACATATCTAATGTAGAGCAGACTGGTGTAAACATTGGAAAATGAAGATCAATGAAATCAAGTGCAGTCTCTGTCAGATTCTGAACCAATTCGCCTCTCACGATCTACTAAAATAATACCATCTCCAAATCTGACTACATTCGTTACCTAAGGTTCGACCAACTCTTTCAATCTAAAGTTAGATCAATTGCCAAGGCTCTGTATTATTATCCAGCACTGTACTCCACAACGGCCTTGAAATTCCTCAAAGATTTACCAAGTTCACGGTAAAATCTCCGATCACCTCAATAGCCTTGCCCAAGCATTGTCCAACAGATCCCATTTCTATAATCCCACAAGACATCTTATGCGGGAACTGCCCCGGACCATCTTTCAGAGGAAAAGTGACTAGAGAAGAGAAATGCAATGGGAAAATAACATTGATTACTAGCTCCTCTTCCCTGATGTATGTAAATGTTATCCTCAAATTACATGGCGTAATTAGAAATTGAAGATGGCGAACAAGTTGAGTAGTAATAACTTATTACTACTTAAGATAGTAGACTATAATTCCAAAAAATAATTTTTAGGCATTGGCTAGTAGTTTAAAACGCACAGATTTATCTTATATGTATATTAGTTTTTCTGTAATTATTAGAAATCAGGTATATATTTAAAGTTTAGTACATGGATTGCTCACCTGAGGATGGCCAAGGATGGTCTCAACGTTGTGAGTGACGAACACAATTTTCCCTGACGCTGTGACGACGAGCAAAATACCGTCCATTCCCTGAAAAAGAAAGTATAAAAAATTTAAAAAAAATTGCAAGGAACCATAAACTGGGAATGGAATGAAAATCATATAGAAAGGACACTAGTTCCATCTTTAGCCCAAACGGACCGAAATTTCTTTTCTTTCTAATTTGCAGTAGTTGGAGAAGGAAACTTGATCGAGATCCCTCAGCAGCATCAAGTCCCTTGTCCGGTCCATTATAAAAATGGGGAATGAATAAGTATAGAAAATATAAACGACAAACTAAAAAAACATAGATGTACCCTTGCTATGTAAAATAGGTACACGGTTTTTGTGTGATCTATGATTGCGACTAACAATTAAAACTACCTAATTTTTTAAATAAAAAATGTGATAACAAAAATTATTGAACAAGCGCCTTATGGAAGTGTCAAAAAAAATGTATACGGTATAGATTTTATTTAACCAATTTTCTCTCTCTCTCTCTCTCTCTCTCATCTCTATTAACATACATATAAGTTTTATATTGTGTCTAGATATAAATTTTGCATTATATTTCCATAAATCTTAGTTTATTACATGTTGTTTTGGTTTCTCGTTAAATTTCATTTTTTTCTCTACCAAATATTTATTGTCGTATATTGTTTCATTTAACCCATTTCTCTCATTCTCTCTCTCTCTCTCTCTCTCTCTCTCTGCTCGTTATCTCATTTTGAAGACGAAAGCTGGAAATCACCCTTCTTGTCATTTGTCGTTCAATTATAAGCAAATGAAGCTCATTAAAACAACAAATTTCGAGTTGTAAACATTTTTAACAATCGCTAATTAATTTATCAGAACAATACCAATAGGATAAAAACTTCGGCCAAACAATGTACGCATTTAGAGATAAGGAAGATACGTTAACTACAAGTTTACAAAAGGAGACTAAAACAAATGGGAGATAATCGGAACTTTAAAAGAAGAATAATGTATTCAAAGGAAAATAATATTTGTTTAAAAGTAATATTTAGTTCAATTAATTATTCTTTTTATCTAAGGTTTTGGTTGAGATGAAAAAGTTAGTGTCACCAGCGGGTTTCGAACTCACGACCACTTGAGCTATCGTGAGCGTGTCAGAGCAGCGGCGTATTGAGCCGAAGGTCGTGGGTTCGAATCCCGCTCGTGACACTAACTTTTTCATCTCAACCAAAACCTTAAGATTTACATTTACGCTCAAACTACAAACCTGTCCACCAGTGCACATTTACAACAAAATAATACCACCATCGAACCAAGTCCGCTACCTTGGGCTTTACTTAGATAGTTAGACTTACTCGGAACCCACATACACGATTAAAACGGCAAGAACTTAATAAAAGATATGGACTATTCCGACACCTTCTTGGACCAAAATCAAAACTAAGCGTACGTAACAAACTAACCGCCTACAAAACACTCATCAGACCTATTTGGACCTACAGAAATCGAGCTGTGGGGCTCGGCCAAATCATCCAATATCCAACGAATTCAGTCTTTTCAATCTAAAGTTCTCCGCCGTATCCTCAATGCTCCCTTCTATGTTACAAATCAAACGATCCATAAAGATCTTAAAATCCCTTTCGTCAAAGATCTTATCCAAACACGTTTCTTCACTTTTCACTCTAAACTCCCTCCTCCCTAACTCACTAGCCCTAACTCTTTCCTCAACATCTCACTCTTACAATCCTCCACGCCGTTTAAAACGACGATGGCCTCGTGACCTTCTATCTAACCCACCGAATTAACTTTAACTCCCCCCCCCCAATTAAATAAAAGTCAGGTCTGTCAGATTTGTTTATAACTAACTATTTGCTCAATGTATATTATGTACAGATAGCAATAAATAAAATAAACATCTTTAAAAAAAATATATGTTATCTCTCATCTAGTTCGCTATTTTGTTAAGATCACTTTCGGCTTTATTTGCAACTTCCGACCAAAGAAATTGTGCTGTTCAGATCAAGTTTATATATATATGTTACGCAGGGTGGGCGACCAAGACCCGAGAGGTTAAATGCCTGGGTAGACTCGTACCACATCCCTAAAAGGTCCGGGACTTGGTCGGCTCATGTCCTGCATAATCTCTTGGAATTGTTCACAAACCCCAAGATTTTGGACCATTTTATCTCGAGGAGTGATTTGGTGATGTTCACTCCTTGAAAGATTAAAAACGGCAAAACGGATCTGGTAGAATACCCATTACGGAGAGGTGTGCCCCGCCAGGATACCTATCAGCCTCCTATTTTATTTATTTACCTCCCCTTCTATCAGCCTCCTAAAGATTTACTAAGTTTTACTAAGTCGTTGATGTAAATTAAAAATAATATTGGACCTAGAGCCGTTCCTTGGCTGATTCCGTAGTCTTTAATTTCAGCTATTTGGCTGTGTATGTCATCTATATATATATATTACACAGGGCGGGCGACCAGTACCCGAGGGGTTAAAGGCCCGTACCCCATCCCTAAAAGGTCCGGGACCTGGTCGGCTCACGAGTCCTGCATAAACCTTTTGGTCCTATTCACAAACCCCAGGATTGTGGACCATTTTATCCTGGGGAGTGTTTTGGTTATGTCCTCTCCTTCGAAAGTATTAAATCTTTCCCTAGCATACCTATCGCATTCTGCGAGGTAGTGTCGAGCCGTTTCTTCTTTTGTTTCGCAGAAGCGGCAGAAGGGGTCTGGTAGAGTACCCATTATGAAGAGGTGTCTTCTCAAGGGGCAATGGCCCGTTAGGATACCTATCAGCCTCCTTATTCCCCTCCTAGAGTTAGAGAGTAACCATTTCGCTTCTTTAGGTTTGATTTCCTTCAGAAACTCCTTCGATTGCCTGCATCCGGGGGACATATTCCATTCCTTAAGGAATTGTTTCATGCCCCAGCTACTTATACTCTCTTTCGCTGTGCCTAAAGAGTGGGATAATACCGGTTGTGGCCCGACAAACGCAGTATTTGATCCTTCCTTGGCCTGCCACCTATATGAACCATTTGCTTAATAACCGAGACTTAATGTAAGATTTAAACCATTCTAAAACTTTCCCTCTAATTCCAATTATTTCCAATTTTTTATTAGTTTATATCTACTGATGGAATCGAATGCTTTCGTGACGTTCAGAAATGTTCAAATAATCTATTTACTTTCATCAATTTCATTATATATAGTTTTAGTAAAATTGTAAATGGCTTCATCTACCCCTATACCTGTGCGAATGCCAATTGTAGAGGATAGATTATTTTATTTTTTTCTAGAAATTGATACGCTTGATTATTAAATTTTTTATCAATATATTTAACTAAAATAAGTAAGTAATTTATTGGGCAATAATAAGATTTATTTTGTGGATTACAATTTTCAGGAAGTTGCGGATGTAATAATGACTCTTTGGAGGACCAAAACCACATATTTTTATCTTGCCCTCCAACCACAAAATATAGAGATCAATTGTATTCTGCGATTTTACAGTGCGGCTTGCTCTTACCTACTAAAAACAGTATAATTTTGAGCAACATAAACCACCCCCTCATCAGAAATGGTATATACAATTTCATTGTGGCTAATGGATTAGTTATTTAATCACGGAGATTGGAGGGTAGTATGTCTCTCCCACACTATTCACTATCGATATGGCAGATGAGCAAACACAAGGACAAAAAAGAAAAAAAAATTCAGGAAGGGCGATGATGGATTTTTTCCCAATTATTTGGATAGACACAATTCTTGATTCATTGAATACTTGTGCTAATATGTGATTTATATATTCAATAATTAATTTTATAAAAGTTGCTGAAATTTTATCAGGACCATTACTTTTAGAATTAATTGAGGGCACAGCTTCTTCCACTTCAGATAATGAAATGGTTTTCAGGTTAAATTCTAGTGATTTGGTGTAATAGAAGGAGAAAGGGAAAGAGCTGTTTTGTTGTTCTTGATTCGTGTGAGCATATGTATTAGCGCGAATCGTGTGACAGGACCAATGGTGCAATACTGAATACTTCATACATATAGATATACAGATTGATGGAGAAATGGTCTAGTGATAAACCTATTGATTTATACGAAAATAAATTTTTAAACATATTACGTCAGTTTGGTTGTATTGTAATTAATTTAACTGAATTAATAAATTACGTCGTTGAAAATTATCCGTATAACGGACCAAAATGATGACACGAGGAGGAACAAGAGGAACATAAAATGGGGGAGCAACCCTACAGCATAAACAAAATAATTTCCTTGCTCATTGACGTTACTTCTTTTATAAGAGTAGCAGTAGGATAATAACAATTTGATGAGTTTCAAATTGGCAACGATATAAAAAAATTGTAAACAATAACAAAAAATAAAATTGCATCAACTTGCCATACTATTTGTTTGTCGCTTTGAACAGATCAATCGAAAATTAGCAAAATGTTTAAATTACGTTTTAAAGTGCCACCCTAAGAGAAAATCGACTTTTAATTGGAATTTTATTTACAGACATTAACGGAAACCCTACTGGATTTTATTTACACTCGAAATTACTCAAGGATTCTAAGCAGTGTTGAATATTTTTTGTTTTAAAAATTGTAGTTAAAAATAATGAAATGTAATACTATCAATAAAGCTTATAAAACCTTAGCTATTAATGTTCAGCGAATGTAGAAAAATAATTAATTGGCCGCCATTCGATCCTCGCCGTCTCTAGGCAGCTATTTCTTACTTTTACACGTACTCTCTTGTCCAAGTTTGAACATTTTTTGCAAAAAGTGTATACGCTGTACAGGGTGATTCACAACTTATACGACAAAGTTCGTCACGTGCTTGCTGCTACACTTCCAGTAGAACAAAAAAGTTCGTATGAACTGGGGTCCGATCATCAGCACTTTCCCAGATATTCAAAATTATTTTGTCTGCTGTTTTCGTCGTACATTTACTTGTACCTCTTGTACTATTCATTTTTGGAAAAAAATTGAAAAAAAGCGTTAACTTTCCTTTAAGAAGGTACCCTTCTAGTTGCAATTTAATTTTTGGTAAAAAAGCACCAAACCTTTCAAAAACCGCTATATTTAAAATTAGTAAAAAAAACTAAATTTGCAACCTCGTCGGAAAAGCTTCACGGAAGGGTTTGACAAATTTCAAATTGCTAAATGGGGAAAAAAAGGGTGACCTGTAAAATTCAACTTGAAACTTCAACCTGAATTTTATTTCGTGTAGATTTTTAAAACTTGTTTTTTGCAGTGGTCGATTACGAGGTACTAGTATTATACTGTACCTGATACCATTACCAACTCTGTACTTTACTTTAGGCATGTTTACGTTTAATGTGTTCGATGTATCAACCACTTTTTTACTGACAAATAGACGAAGAAGTTGTTATGCATTTTGCCAACCAATATAGTGACCTTTTCCAACCAGACTGCAGTTTCATTTTTATAAATTTTAAATTCAGCAGTTTTTGAAAGATTCAGTGGTTTTGTTAATAGTTCAAGAGCTGCGAGTAGATATATGACGACAAACGTAGATAGTTGTAAGTTTTTTTTAAATATCTGCGAAATGGTTGACAATCGGACCATGGTACACAGGAACGTTGGGTTTGTTGTGTAGAAGCACCTGACGAACTTGGTCATATGAGAAGCGAATCACCCCGCATATGCCGAAATTACGAAACACATCTAAACAAACAAGCGAGAATAGACTGTCCATGACAATCTGGGATGACCGAGCAGTGAAAAATGAATCAAGAAAAAAATATTTCAAACATGGTCAAACGGAGTTTACAATTCAATCTTTGTTTCTTTTCCCGAGGAAACGCCAGAAAAAGAATGGACTAAATAGGACTTCGATTAATGTTATTATTTACGGCACGTAATTAAAGCCTTAGAATTGTCCAATGGATGGCTTTATTCTAAATTTCGTCTTATTTTATCTCGCATTTTCAGTATTTTCCTAACTCAACTTTGGCATTCAATGTATTCAGAATGGTGTAGACTATATAATATACATTATTCTATATTTTTAAGTTGATGCTTAGAAATAAAGGCTACATGATGACAAATTAAGACAACCGGACTACCTTTTAAGCTGTAAACAGTAGACGGAATCATAGCAGAGGTTGATAAAACTAAAACCGTAAAAAAATACTTTTTTATGCACTAACTTAGTCAGCAAACCTTTCGCCACCAAGTTCTAAAAACGTTCCACATTGGTATGAATATTTTTACGTTTGGGTCATTGTTGTTACTCTTATCGACAGCGGGAGGAGTGGTCTATTCTGTTAGAAGACAATGAGAACCTCTCGGCATAGAATTGATAAAAAAACAAATTCGAAACGCAAACCGGATGTTGACCCTAATTAAGCACACATATTTTGAAAAAGACCGATTCTTAATGTTAATTATCTTAACCTGGTCAAGTCGTATCGCAATATTTTACATGATAATTGGACATTTTTTCATATATATATCGCGGTTTATTGGGAGAAGAGTCAGTCTTTCATCAGTGGCTTGTAGAAAAAGGTAAGTTGCCTAAGTATTCTTTGCAAGTTATAAACTTGTGTGTACTTGGCACATATACATTTTTGTTCCAAAACAATACATTTATGGTCAGATTGATATATACTGTATACTACACATAACATCAATTACAGTGCAATTGAATTTATTTTGACAAAGTAGCGATACATACAGGTAGTTATAATTTTCTTTGGTATTGTTAAAAAGTAAGTTTTTATTATTTAGTTAGCTTGAATAACGTATATTGATTAAATAAATAATGAAATATGTTTCAATATAGGGAAATAATAATTTCGTATTTATAGCTTCAGCGAAAATGAAAAATAACATGCACCCCCTGCTAAAGATCATTCTTTTCAATTTTGTTCTATGGCACACCGTTGAAGGTATAAAGTGCGCTAATATATGAAGTTCGACAAAGACCAAATAACTCATGGAATTTTGCAGGTGCACCAGCGCAAACCAAATGGGGAGGATCTGAGGGAGAACACGGAGGATCTGAAGAATTGAAAAAATGTTTCACCACTTTGAAAGAAATGTTCAGCAAAGGAGAGACCGCGAATCCTTCGTCCAAATGGGAAGGTGGATCAGAAGGCGGTCACGAAGTTACTGAAGAGGTGAAAAAATGTTTCACCCTTATGACAGCAACGTTCAGCAAAGATAAGAACACGGAATCTTTGTCAAAAAGGGAAGCTGAATCAGAAGGCGGCCACGTAGAAGCTGAAGAATTTAAAAAATGTTTCACCACTTTGACAGAAATGTTCAGCAAAGGAAAGGTCGGGAATTATTTCTCCAAAAGGGAAGCCGGATTAGAAGGCGGTCAAGGAGCTTCTGAAGAGGTGAAAAAATGTTTCACTGTTATAACAGCAATGTTCAGCAAAGACAAGAACAAGGAATCTTTGTCTAAAAGGGAAGCTGAATCAGAAGGCGAAGCTAGATCTATCAAAGTAATGTTAGAATTGCTTAACAAGTTGGGAGGAGGGAGCAGCCAAAGCGGGGGCTCCAGGTCTCTGTGCAAAAAGAAAGGTGAATCTGAAGGCGGCCACGTAGAAGCGGAGGAATTGAAAAAATGTTTCACCACTTTGACAGAAATGTTCAACCAAGGAAAGTTCGGGAATTATTTCTCCAAAAGGGAAGCTGGATCAGAAGGCGGTCAAGGAGTTACAGAAGAGATGAAAAAATGTTTCACCCTTATGACAGCAACGTTCAGCAAAGATAAGAACACGGAATCTTTGTTCAAAAGGGAAGCGGAATCGAAAGACAGTGACGCGAAAGTTGACTCATTTAAAGATTTGTACACCAGGGTGAATAGGTTTTTCAGGAAAGAACAGAGCGCGAATCCTGTGTCCAAAAGAGAAGCTGAATCAGAAGGCGGTCATGGACAAACCGAAGAATTCAAAAAATGTTTCACCACTGTCACAGAAATGTTCAGCAAAGGAAAGGTTGGGAATTATTTGTCAAAAAGGGAAGCTGAATCAGAAGGCGGTCACGGAGAAACCGAAGAATTGAAAAAGTGTTTTACTATATTCACTGAAATGTTCAGCAAAAGTCCGAAAGGGTTGTCTTTATCTAAAAGAGACGCTCAATCCGACAAAGAAAAAACCCCCAACCACTCTTCGCAAATATTGTCTGCAGTGTCGGAAGTATTCGACGAATACGGAAAGCAACAACTAGATGACGATTCGCAGGTCAGTAAGCCTAAGACCCTGTCTTTAACAAACAAATCATACTCCTCTTATAAAAAAAATCGAGGCTAACATAAATATTCAGGCATTTTGGATCTTTTTACCTATTGCCTGCTTTTACTTTTTGAGAACATATGTAACATAAGGATTATTTAAATTGGAGCAGGTCAACCGAACTAGCACGTTTTATAAAAATCCATTTTTGCTTTTTCTATTTTAAGGTTTTCGCCAGATGAACTCAACGTTGAAATTCCACTAAATACCCACAACTGGAAAAATCGTGTCGAAAAGGTGAATAATCCATCATGCAAGGGGATAGCAACTGATTACAACACAATTGAACAATTATTGAAACATGTATCAAAGGCACAATATAATTTTGAATTCATGGATGATATTTCAATTAATTACCAATTCCACTTTTTTAAAGTTTAATCTGTTAAAATTTTAAGTTAAGAGTAAAGTATGTAAAATTTTCAGAAAGGCGAATTCATTTTCGAAATTTGTTTAAAAAAATGATAAAACATTGAATATTAAATTATAATATAAATAATAATCGAAGTTAATAATGTAAACAGACTTGCCTCGAGAAGCGACTGACACCATTCAATAGGTAAACGGAGCTGCTCCGTGCTTGTATCTCTTTTCAGCAAAACTGAAATTAAAAACAGAAACAAATAATTGTTTGAACAGTACTTTAATAATGAGCCATGCATCTCTACATTTCAGTATAAGATTTAAATCAAAATATAAAATTGTATTAATAAATCAGATCTCTCGCATGATAATGTAAACACCTACCATTTTGATGGTAAACTAGGATTATTCTGTATATTTAAGCTTCCACTGGAGTTCGTCAAATGCAGAGAGTCAAATGCAGTTTTATCAAAGCATACATTGAACAGACGATCAAAATAACATTTTGAAATTACGCGCAACATTCAAACACTATTTTCCACAAAAGAAAACAGCAGTTGAGCACGGAGACCTTACCTTGTTCGATGCCTGGCGAGGGTGGTTTTATTTGAGAGAGTACACCTCGTTCAGAGATGTTTTTATTCTGAATAAACTTAATCCTTTAATCGGACAAAGTTCGACGTAACCGGCTCGCTGGATCTCGGGGGATTTTGATCATGTATAACGTATAATTTCGGCGGATGCAATTGGCAAAAGTACATAACAAGTCAAGGACTTCAACCGAAGGGGTGACCGATCTAACATGGATATGTTTTTCTCTGCATGAAATCATAAATTATTGGGTTGGGTTTGAATATCCACTTGTTGCATTTGACCGTTCCGTATCACATTTCACGTAGTATATGCAGCCTACATTGGTTTACTTAGGCAAAGTTGTATTCATTTCCCAAGGGGTAGCCGGCCGAAGAGTGCAAAAGAATGGAATATTTATTGGCAGTTCTTCAGAGAGCAAAAACAAAGTTCAACAAGAACAAAGATGAAGATGTATCCCTGATGGAGTGAAAACTCTGATTCCGGCGTATTGGTAGAACCTATCCCTTAGAGGAGCAGATTCATGTTAGAGGCTTGGGTGTCCTGCAAAGATGAGCTTCGGCGTGTTCTATCTCTCAACTCCAACCAGCTCCTTTCATCAACGTTCCACCCTTAAATAGTTATAATCCTCTAAAACACGTGATATTCTATCCTGATCCTAGTACAAACTAAATAATAGAGTTTCGGGACATTCTGGCTCCTCTACCAACCGCTTCGTGGTCTGACAGATCTGCCAGATTTGTACATACTCTTCATGTACTATTTGACCAATGTACTGAATATTGTGGCAGATAGCAAAAAGTAAAACAAATAAATAAACTTAAGTATAATCAGTAAATTATTTTTCCACAAAGAATTGAATAAAACATCTAGCGAAAAACGACCAAACTTTATAAATTAGATAAGTAATCAGAAAGTTTATCAAAAACGTGTGTATATTCAAAATAATATGAAATAGTATTATAGTATATATAGAATAATGTATGTTTGAAACGAACCTAAATAATAATTTAAGAAAATTCAAACGTACATACAAGGAGTACAATACAATGTCAGGAATACAAATGAAAAATCTTTATTTACACTCTTTAATACTATTAATAAAATAAACAAGAGAGACAAACTGCACCGTATTCTAGGAAGAAAAGAAAATCCTCCCTCCTCAAGGCTGAATCAAACTAATGCTATTATAATTCTAGTTTTTCCAATTTCATTTTTTATCCCACTTAACGAAAAGATCAAAATAATTTAATAAATTCACCTTGGTGCATTCGTAAGAAAGTCGCCGAGAGTCGTAGTATGCTTGTCTTGTCCAGACGTTTAGCTGAAGAAGAGACCATCGGAACCAGCATGGCGAGCTCATTGATGAACTGGTTCAGTTTGTCCCTTCGCTGTTTTTCAGCCTTGTTTCTTATCTCTCTGGTCGAGCTGAAACAGAAAATCAATCGATAAATCAAACACTTTAATACACTCTCATAGAAACAATGTGCACAAGTTGAAACACCTTGTGATAACAATAATAATAAGAATTGGGATGGAGTCCACCAGGTCTTCTACTTGATCCATTCAGCAGTTAATCCTTTTTTTATGTCAATTTGAAATTTTACAGCCGAAATCCAGTTATTTTTATTAATTTAACTACTTATTATTAATAAGTTAGGGAGTCATTTGGAGCCATGATTCGGATGATCCCAAGCTCATGAAGACCCACATTTTCTACCAACCAATCTTTGAATTTGTCAAATTTACTGTATTGTACATTTCTGTACTCAGCTTTTTTAAAATTATAAATGCACTTGTAGAAAAACCAAATATTGTATTAAATAGATATTATGGAATAAATAAGGGGAAGAGCAATGGGGATCTACAATTATTCAAAGTACCAGGTCGGTGCTTCTTGGAACGACAGATAGGCCCAAATCCAAATTGTCACATAAACTACAGCCACTTTAAAACAGAACTGGAAGCTTGGATAACTAAAGGTCAACAAATACTGCGAACCGAATCACCACTTTAAAGAAAGTGTGAAATTACAGACAACTGAACATATAACAATAGCTATGAAAAGGTTATGGTACCTGGGAAAACGGTTCTTGAGCTAAGTGGACCTTGATACCATTTCCCCCGAGAAGAATTCTTTACTTCATAAAAGAAACAAAATTAATCCAAGAAATTCAATAGCAGAAAATTTAAGTACTAAAGAGAGAAATCTCTACGACTCCATATGAGAAGGGAAAAAGGGATGAGAAGATACCCTTTTTGAACGCCGACATCTTGTACTATGAGCGGTTAAGAGATTAGCAACAATGACTGTTGGTTTGATAAAGAGTATCAGAGGATAACACTATATTGCTCAAGATACTGCCAATATGATCGGGCCGAACGAAAGTTGAAACCATTCAAATTCCTCGATGCGCCCTCGTGTCGACAGTATGGACCCAATGACCCACATTTCATTCCAGAAAGCTGGTTCGGCATAAGTGGTCCGGTCGCCTGGGCGTTGATCCCCGGACGTACCACCGATGGATTGGCTTCTATGAGGTCACTTCGACTAAACTCGTTTATGAAACCTCACTGAAAAGCTTCTTAACACCAGAACCGTTCGGAAACCATTAAAACATTTTATTATAGCTTAAACGTGATGAACCGGTACGTTATCAGATTGCTTGGCTCTTTCCGAACGTTTTGAGGAAAAAAGTCGCAACATCGCATAATATTTATCTATCTGCTGCGATATGTTTTTTTGCCTAAACTGCCAACTTCGTTTCTCTGGAAAAAAAAACCCATGGATGATTGCAATGTACCACAGAGAGACAAATGGTCAAAAAAGCCGAGGGAATCCGACTAGGCTTTAAGACAGGGGCGGGTCTTTAACTGGCCAAGAGGTTTGACTAAAAATGGATAGTTGGCCGCGCTGAGGAAGTTATTACAGGAGTACGCCAGTCCGCATGTTGCCAGGGCAGTCACTCACCACTTAGAGCAATGAACTGCCGGCCGGTTCGTCTCTTAAAGCACTTTTGGTATATTTACCATAGGGATTTATTACAACCGGCTGTCAAAAGATTTGTACTATACTTGGAATTATTTACTCTCTTTACTGGGTCAGAGAGCCAAAACGAGACCTAGTTAATACCAAGAATCGAAAAGCGCAATTGGATGAATGCCATTTTGTTTTCTAAAGGATCGACCCTTTTGATTCCTGCAATATTTCAACGTTTGCGAAAATTCCACCAGGAAGTCAGCTGCGTTTCGACTTCTGGCGAAAGATGGATCTCTCTTATTTATGTGTTTAGTCCTGTCGTCTAATTCGCTAAATATACACTGCTCTTACTGGCAGACTTCAAACAGGCTAGTGATAAATCTTGCTCCTTGGCCAAATACTAACATTGTTGCACCTCTCAAATTAATATAAAACGTAAGAGGTTTCTATTCTGAGCTTACAATACCATCCGTATTATATTTCTTATTTGAATCCTTCCTAAAATTTAATAAAAAAACAATTTAAAGCTTAAAAAATGTAAACATTAAAATAGAAAAATTTGCGAGACATTTTTAATTTCGACTGGCACAGCGTTCCACGTTTCATAACAATGCAAGGTATGTTTATAATTTGACTATGAGAATTTACGTCTACGGAGTCCCAATCAAAGCAGGAAACCATTACCTGGAGTTTGATAAGCTAACTGGATCGTTTAATAGGGGCGGTCAACGTATGGCCAATGAACTATTTGTCAAATCCAATTTTAAACCATGCCCCTGCTAAAAATTATTAAGGCAATGCCCCGCCGTTCACCTTTTGTAAGCAGAAGTCTAGAACTATTATTAATAGAATTAATTAAAACGGATTGGAATTTTAATGACATTGCTTTTTTTTCTAATATTCTAAGCGTTTCAACAATAAACAATAAGATAGGAAAAAAGCACGATTGCACATTCATAGAACCTGTATGATTCTCAACTTATAAAGTATATATTAATGTGTGGTGATTAGTGACCGTTAATCGATATTTATTTGTAAATCGTGAGATGCGGTCTGGTGTGATGTAGGTTTCAGAAAAACATTTTCTTTATCGTGCCAACGTTTCGATCTTTATTGAGCCCTGAAGATGATCTCAATAAAGATCGAAACGTTGGCACAATAAAGAAAATGTTTTTCTGAAACTTACATCACACCAGACCGCATCTCACGATTTCCAAATAAGTATATATTAATATAACTAAATAGTGTAATACATAATGTAAAAAAAAACACTTTTGTAAATATTATTAACGACAGGAGGGAGTGAAAAATGCAAAGATGTAAAGAAAATTGTTGTTTTTTAAACTTTCGGACGTGACAACACTTCTTGAGACCTATTAAAATGAAAATCAATTACCTTATTTGACAAAGCGCTTGGCTTTTGTAACAGCAGACTCACATGATTTAAAAACAAACAACAGAACAGTATGCATTTTTTCTTCTGGAGGAGGCTCTCTTTCTTTTTCTACGACCTAAACTCTCCATCGTCGAATTGGCCTTTCTTTATATTCATACTCCAGAAAGAAACACGAAAATTTTGCGTTTTTTCCCTCGGGGCTGCACCGTTTCCAGACTAATGCTTTACGGTCACACGAGTTATTTCCCGATGCCTCAGCTTTTCATGGCAGAGTCGGCAGGTGCTTCAGGTTTTTCCCATTTTTTGGCAGTTAATGGGTAGTAGCCAGGACAAAGCCCTATTAGTTTCCTTAATTCTTCTTCTTAGTTAAGAAGTTGAGAAACTTTGATTTTGGTGTGTTCATTCAGTGTTTAACCTTTTCATTGACACTCAACGGTATTTAATCTTTTCATTCTCTTACCATTTGTTCGGTTCAGCTTTTTGCAAACTTTGGAGTGGGTCGATTTGAGGGTCTAGACAAAGGTGTTATGGCTGATCCGGTTTTTCATAGTTTGCCAGGCTGTTTACTGCCTTCAACCCCTTCCTGACCTGGTACCCAAGGCCTAGTTGCCTACCAGATATCTTAGGCATTCTCAAACCAGATAGGATATGGAATCTAAAGCCTTCAGGACTGTTTTTTGGAGTATTTTTTATGCACAGAGATTTATTCCATTGGAAAATTGATAGTGGAGACCTAGAAGTTTCACTAGGTCAAAATTTGACCTTTAACCCTGCTCCTACTCTAAGATATGACCTTTCTGTTAGTTTCGATGTTTTTGTTCCTTCAAACATCCATTGTTATTCTTTTTAGTTGGAAATGTCTGTCTAAATTGGCTTTTATTTGATTCTGTCAGATGTAGTTATAACCACTTCATTTACTTTTAGCTTTTTTAGGGTATCATGGATGTTCTTTTAGATGAGGCTTTATTTATTTCTCCTTAGAGCCTATTTGTACTTTTTTAAGATATCTTCTGGATGATGGCCATCCCAGTGATACTTCATACTCTTATATTAGCTGATGTTTGACATGTGTGCATTGCCCCTATAACTACATGCTAATCACAGCAATTGATTTTGCGCTTTCTTTTCTAAGGTTTTGGGCCTCCTAAGCTTTCCTAGTGGGTTGTTTACAGCCAGAAGGCAATTTTTGGATTGCCATGCCATGTTTTTACAACCAAATCTTAAGTCTATACTTGCTATATGGCCAAATGCAAGGTGTCAACTTTCTAGAGTTGGCTTTCTCAAAAACTCTTCCACTTAGAGAAGGAAATTTAAACACTATTGGAGTCTGTTTGCATGGATATCAACTTGGAAACTTAATGGTGTAGGGCAAGGTGAAAATGTATTTACGTTACTGCCCCAGTTTTATACCCCATGTTTTACTGTAAAAACCTATGGCCCTTCGCTTTTTGTATAGTTTAGTCTGTATATCCCTTCGAGGTGAGATTTTGATCTAGCGTTAAATTTAGATACTTCGTCTCCCTGGGGATAGCTTTATTCTTATTTTTCAATAAGTGCTTTTAGATTAAGTTTCCATTTATAAAACAATGTGCACAGTAAACGTTTTTAAAACGATTGTGTTTAAGATTTAGATTTACGAACAAGCGGTTTGTTGACCGACTTAATGATTAAGTATTATAATTTGCTCATTAGAAGATCTGATAAACTTTAATACAGAAATTAATTGCACCTCATTTTCATATTCGTGGCCGTTTTGATTAGTCAGAGAGGAAAATAACTCTTACGATCCGTGAATGTCGAATAACGTTATGTTAAAACGGTTGGAAATTTTGTAGGATCTTATAAAGATAAAGATAGAGTTGAAGCTGGTTTTCTGAGAGTCGGTGAACTCATGCTGAACCGGCATTCGGTAACTTACTGGGTCCGTCTTCACTCGCGGGTTTGTTGAACTACTCAAACGATTTTCGGCATTGTTCAGTGGGGTGAGACCTCACTGAAGTTGGCGCGATGTCTAAAAGCGTTTGGGTGGTTCAACAAACCCGCGAGTCAAAA